TAAACTTGCCCCCTATCGAAGGCCTCTTAAATGGGCATTTTCCCTTTCTTAATGGGCCGATTTTTCATCCATTGGAATTACATTAAAGCTGGAATGGAAATTTTCAATGTCGGTGCACCCACTTTTCAGGTATCAGGGTTTATATATGTCTGTGTGTGTGCGTTCCGTAGTTCCCTCTAAAATAATATTCTATTTAATAAAAATATTTTAAATGAAATAATTTTTTTATAAAAGAAAACACTTTTGAATGATTATTTTTCTTTTTTTTTTCTTTTGAAAAAATTATGGCTACTTTATATTGTCAAATTAATTTTTAAGTTTGAAAGTAAGTCCATCTATCTGTTCGGTCAAAATCCCGAACAAGTTATCTATTTAATCAAACTATCAATATAAATTTATACCAAATAAACAGTATGATGCTTTTTCTTGTTATTTGTTTAATTTTCAATAATATTTGTTATATTAAATACGATATGATTTTACATATGTGTAATCTTTAGTTTTAACAGCTCAATAATACAGAATAACTACGTAGCCTAGTTACTGGACTGTCAGCATATATATATATATATATATATATATAATGACTGCATACAAAGCAACAAGGGATGCTAGTATTTATGGAGTGGTTTTCATTCATAATTTAGATTTTGGTGGAATAACATATTACATATGCACACTTGTCCGATTATTATAGTTACTTTAAATTTCATCTATGCTAAATGAGAAATGACGTGAGATGAGGTTTTTCCAAATGTTTATATTATGATAATGAAATATCTGTTACGTGAACAATATATCTTTACCTTTTTTTTCCAAGAATAATGGTTATGTCATTGCATATATAATAAAAAGTTTTTTTTTAATTAGATTTACATTTTTAATTGTGTCATTTAGACGTGGGATCCTAGAAATTAGTCATTCCATCAAAATTTTACTTTCAGGCCATAGATTTTGACATGTGAAGTGGATATGATCCTAGCCTTGCATTAGACAATTAAGGTGAGAAGCAAATGATCAATTAATGTCATGGGTAATTTCATATACCTATGTGATCGTAATTATTACATAGTTTTATATTGGCTTACTATATTATAAAATCACAAATTTTATATCTTTTAATTATTTTAGTATATTTTTTCAAAAATCAATAAAAAATACATGAATTCAACTTCGATAATCATATTAGCACAAGAAGTGTTTTTCATCCAAAATTCCTAATTTATATGACATGACATAACATGTAAGATGTCACCATGGATTATAATCCACATAAGATGAAACGTGAAAAAAAATTAAAATCGAGACTCGTTTAGACGATATGTTGCTCACTAATCCTTATCTCATTTGAAAAACAAATTTCCCACGATACAATTCCAAATCAAATCATAAAATTTATAAAAAAATATTTTTATGTTTTTGTGATAAAAGAACAATATTACTAGGATTGATTTGGTTTTGGTTTTTCTTCATTTCATCTTAAAACTTGACTAAATATTTGGGTGATAAAAGAGCAAGAAGGATGAGGAGAGGGTTCGTGGGTTTGAATCTTCGACCGTTATGGATTTTGAATTTCTATATATTTTAGTGCTCAATGGTGTATTCTATGAATAATCATAATTTTAATAATAATAATGAGCACTTTTTCTTTATTCGATTTTGTTGAATATTCCACACAATTTTATTGATTTTTGATAGCAAATGAAGGTGGGCAACATATCATCCGAACAACCTCAATTTTAAATTTTTTTTTGCCACATGTCATATTATGTGGATTGTAATCTATGTTGGCTTCCTACAAGTCATGCCACATCATACAAATTCGAAATTTTGAACAGTAAAACACCTCATGTGCTAATATAGTTACCAAAAACTCGGTTAATGTATTTTTCATCTATTTTTGTAAAAACATATCAAAGTGATTAAAAAGTATAAAGTTTATGATTTATAGTACAATAAACATTTTATATTCTATTTAAAAACCGTTTAATCCTTAATAGAATAATTTTGATAAGTTGTTAGTGGCTATTACGACAAGACAAAACATCGTTAGTCAATATAGACGGATAGTCCAAATAAAGAAAATGTTTTTTTTAACCTATTTGGTAGATTGAAAGAACGTTTATTTAATGAAAACGTGGCTTTTTTAAATGTTTCTACTTGCATCATCACTAAGTACAACTACACACACGGACGGACCCACATACAAAGCTACGGGGCCCGACCCCCATCCCCCTCCATTTTTTTTCCCCATGTAACACTTCATGTCATATCTTTTCTCATCTTTTTTATTTTATTACAATTCTACTTTCAATATGACATCATCCTAATTCATGCTTTAATTGATATTTTTATTTTTTGAGAATGCTTCAATTGAAATTTTAATTAACATATGGATAAATGAGTGTATTTTTACATAAAATAATTAATTTGAGGGTTTAAACAAGTGTAAAAATACACTTATTTCTACGAAAAATATTCTCTATGCACGGAAAAATTCACTTAAGTTCATAAAATATTCGTACACCTCCTAAATGATTTTTCTATGCCTATTGGATAATTTTTAAACACATTTAAAATACTCAAAATAATTATTTTTCACAAAAAAGCACTATTTATTCAATGAAAATATCCATTGAACATCGGAAAGTTTATCAAATGGCACGGAATAATCTGCCATCCCTCTAGTAAATATTCTATACAAATAAAATATTTTTTATGTACATTTAAAGTGCTTAAAACATTTATTTTGCATAAAAAATTACTATTCATGCATTGAAAAACAAATAAAATATTCACTCAATACGGAAAAATTATCCTAAGAGCATTGAATATTCCAACATCCTTATGGAAACTATCTTATGCTCACATAATAGTTTTCATACATCCTTAATATATTTTTAATTCATTTAATAACGAGTGTTTGAGATATTACAAAAAGGTTAGGGATACTCGTTGAGGTTTTCATCTAAAATATGTTTTTGGCTTGCGAATATGTTTAGTGCAATTATAGTTGAGCATCATTACAAAGTTGACATATTCAATGTCGTGATAGATTTTCAATTGAAAAAACTTAATAATAGATTCAATGATCACACGATAGAGCTACTCATTTTTAATTCGGCTTTAAATCCTAAAGAGATGCACATATCATTTAGAATTGATGACATTTGTATGTTGGTGCGAAATTTTACCCTCAATACTTTGTCGATCATGAAAGGGTGCAATTAAGGATGCAATTTGAGCATTTTGATCATGTACGAAATCTTTTTAATTTCAAAACATTGTTAACCATATTTGATTTGTGTCAACGATTGATGAAGATAAGAAAATTTGAAACTTATCCACTTGTTTATAGAATAATAACGGTTATTCTTATTCTTTCAATTTCTACGGCTATCACAAAGAGGTCATTTTCACTATGAGCATAGTCAAGACTAAGCTTCGTAATAAGATGAAAGATGACTTTCTTTCGATTGTTTGTTAGTATATATTAAAAAAGAAATTGCTGAAAATTTGAGTATAGATTCGCTTATAGATGATTTTCGTGACTTAAAAGAATGAAGATCTTTATTTTGAATGACTCGTATTTTGAGATTATTTTAAAATATATATTGATATGTTATTTATAATATATATAAATTTGTGTAAATTATAATAAATTTATAAATATTTATTTTGGCCCCGTGGACATTTGGTCCTGCGTACGTCATCGACTACACACAAGGCGTCGGACAATAATCATCACTTAGAAGAGTTTCAAACCCTTAAGTAGATGCCGAAGCTATTGAATACAAAGAAAAATATTGTTTTAACCCTCACTCTTATAAAAATTAAGAAGCCAAATGTTATAAATTTTGTCATTCAAGCTTTAATTAGCTATATTATTGACTATTTTCTATATAAAAGAGCTAATCCCTAAGAGTCGATTAAGGCTAAACACCTATTTTTGTAAGCTAATTTAGCAATCCAAGAACCCTCTAATTACTAAAAGACAACAAATTTTATAGGTGCTCTTCATTGAATCAATATTTATCAAATTATTATAACTGCATGATCAATTTAGATTGAAAGTCATCTTATCAACAATTATAATCTTAGCATTATCTCGTGAAAAAAAATGACATAAAGACTAGTGAAACTATGACTATATTTGAGGTTTAAAGTGGTACAATCAAGGATGTAGAAACTAATTTGAAAATTGGGATTCCATGATCTAATATATATAGATAAATTGAATGATTATTTATTTTTACTAAAGAAAACAGTAAGCCAAGCAAAGGCGTATTGTTCACATGAGTTTGAGTCCTTAGAATGGAAAAGAAAGCCATGCAGCATTCGCAAATTCGAATGGTGTAAAAATATTATTCTGGTATTAAAACTTAATTGGAATTGTTGGTCCAATAAAAAAACCCAACGAATAAACTATCTAATCGGTTCGAGTTGACATTAAAAACCAGAATCTACATAATTCAGTTAAATAATTAGTAAAATCCGGCCGGTTAGACCAATGGATTATAAGATTATAATTTGTGGGGCTTGAATTTGATATTTTCAACTTTCAAAATTATGCACTTAACCATTCATTATTTTCTTTCATTCTTATTTATACTATATAGTTACAAAATATATTAAGATTATAATAATTAACTTGAGCTGGTTATTATTCGGATCGGGTTTAACAAAGTTCGTATTTACATGTTAATATTGACATGTATGAAATTAAAGTATCTTATATGATTGAAAAGAGCCCCTCTTTACCACTAGAAACCAATCTTCACATTTACGCCTTTCACTTACTCAAAGCCGGTGTACTGCTCAGCCTCTTGCCTAGATTAAAATCCACAAGAGTTGAAAACAGTTTGTAGCTAAATTTTGAAGGCTGAACCAGCTCTTTCTTTTAGCCAAACTCCCGCTGCCCGGCTGCCACTGCTACCATACCTGCACAGCCATAAATACCCTCACAACCAAAACCAATACGACTTGCAAATTAAGAGTAAATGGCATCACAAGACTCCCAACCATTCCACTGGCACTACGCAGAACCAGACGAAAATGACTTGCAAATCCGTGGCAGCGCTTTCTTTTTTGTTATCATCGTCTGCTCCATTTTCATCCTTATCACTCTACTCTCCATCTACGCTCGTTGGGTCTGCCTTGAGAACCGGCAGCATCATCTTCCCTCTAGACGTCACGTGCCCCACGCGCCTCGTCTTCCTCCTCGAGGTCTCGACTCTACGACCATCAAGGCTTTGCCGATAACTTTGCACAAGTCAAATTTGGGTACCAGTAACAATGGCACTGTAGTCGAAAGCGAGTGCTGTATATGCCTTGGTGTGTTTGAAGATGGTGATAAGCTGAAAGTTTTGCCGCAGTGTCAGCATTGTTTTCATTGTGAGTGTGTCGATAAGTGGCTTGTGACTCAGTCAAGTTGCCCACTCTGTAGAACTTCTCTCGGAGCTGACTCGGCTGTTTTAACAATCATAACGGAGTAAACAAAGAAACCCGGATTTCTATTTCTGTAGATTATATCTGTAAAATAGATCATTGTAATTAAATCAGGAATGTTATTTCATACCATTGCTTTGTTTGTCTCTCGAGCTATGAATATATATATATATCTATCAGTGCAAGATCTATTTTTGCAGATATGGAACAAGAACGCGAGATAATTGGTAAAAAAGGCCTTCTATATTCATTGAGCTCGTAACCCAGCTGCAGATTTCTCAATTTTATCCCTATGACGATTACAAGGGATGTTGCAATGCCTATTGATTGCCATCTGTTCGATGAATTTTCTCAGAGAGTCAACTTTCTTCTAGTGAGATTTTGGGCCAGGAATTTTACAAGAATACTGATAAACGAACCAATTAAATTGTAATTTATATCAATTTTTTTAAAAAAATTATTAATAAATCCTCTACTAATAATTATTATAATGGAGTAATAGTTATCAATGAAAGGTGTAATATATAATAGTTATTATATATTTTATGAAAGATATATTGGTAACTATTTAGAAAAAAGAGAAGGAAATAAAAATTTGATTAATGAATTTTAAGAGTATGCATTCTATAACACTTTTTAACAAACCAAAGCCGAAAATGAAATACCAAAGTCAATTTCTAGGTCATTTTCAGTTCAAAAAAGGGATAAAAATAAAATAAATTTACACATCTTTTTCAGCATCTATCGTCAACATTAATGCTTTGCAAAAATTCTATTAATAATTGGGGTGTTACTGAACATACTGCTAGCTAGAAATGAAATGCCTACCTAGCAGGATGGGCTTCAGTTACTCGAGTCACGTGGCTGGTCTGCAAGCCGAATTTAAACTTTCCTTCCTTCTAGCTACACAACTGCAAAATCTATAAAGGATAAATGCTGCCACCTAAACTTTTCCAAACAAAAATTTGAAATTGAAACAACTATGTTCCTTAATTAATATTTTGTAGTAATCGACTCCTGGACTTGGGTTCCCTATCTCAAGATGAGATTTCAACCCTTCTGTGTTTGTATAATTTTGTACGGGTCGATGTGGGCTAATTGGGCCTGCCAATGTTGAATTCATAAATGGGCTCAACTGAACTTTCGGTGTTCGTTAGCTAGTTGAGCCCAGATCAGCAGAACAGCCCAATACAAATTAGGGTTTCACTAGTATATAGTTACCTGCGAAGCCCTCCCTTACACGAAGCTCTGTCTATCTTTCTCCGCAGCCTCCACGGTAGCCAGGGTTCTGAATCAAAGAAAGGAACGCAAAGCTTGGTTACTTTGTCACCATGAGAGCCAAGGTAATCTTATCTTCATCTCACATGGCGTTAATAAAATCATTACCATCTTTTGTATTCCTTTAAACTTGCTTAGTCAGAGTAAAATTGTTCGTTTGATTTATTTGTTTTGTTTTTTTTTTTGCTTTTGCTGTGTTTAAATAAACAGTGGAAGAAGAAGCGTATGAGGAGGTTGAAGAGGAAGCGCCGAAAGATGAGGCAGAGATCCAAGTAGTTTTCTATTTTATCAATAATAGTGAAAGCTGTTGTTCGTTTTAGCGTCTGTCCCTGTTTTGTTTGCCTCATCAGTACTGGTTTCAGCTAAGTAGAGTATTGCTGTTTTTAATTTCATGGTTATGTTAGACCTTTTTAATTTTATGGAAATGGGATTTTGTTTTGCTTATTGGATATGCTGTTGTGTTATTATGATCTGTTTCAGTTATTGTGTTGGTTTGTGGATGTTCTCTTTATTGTTTGAATTACTGTTAGCTAGATTGCTAAAATGGGGAGTTTGTTTTGGTTTGAGTCATTTATTTGGTGGATTTGGTGATTTTCTCGTGCAAGAACTGGAGTAAAATGTAGTTTTCTTGTCGGAGGGAACGCATTGAGGTTTATTTGATTGAAACATGCCTGGAAATTAGATTGCAATTTTAATTTTTTCTGGGAAAATTTGCTAGTTAGTATACAGGCTGTGTACCTGTATCTACTTATGGATTACTAGGGCAGAATTTTGCTAAAATAATTTACTGGGGCTTCAATGATTCAGTGTGGGAGGGTCAGAGACTACCCTGCGTTCGATGATTCGGTATTGGCGGGTCAGACTACCCTGCTTTCAATGGTTATTGTGATTTACTTGGATGGGGGTTTGTGTCCAAGATTTTAATATTAATCTTCTGTTCTTTTTCCCTGAAATATTTTGTTGTGTGGCATTTTTATTATAACCATAATGCAGAGCCTTTGAGAGTAGCCTGCATCTTCTGTTCCATGTTTGTTACATTTATGACTCGATGCGGGTAGAATTTAGGAAAGAACTATCAGACCTACCCGAGAATATGATCTTATTTATGAGAATAAGATGTGTTTATGAGTTTAAAATTTTTAGAAGCAGCAATGTTTTGATACTATTTATAGAAATGAAATATGATGATGAGTGATGGGTTCGGGTGACGTGTCACCTATATCTTACAGGGTTCTGTTCACTTATAGTCATAACGGGTCACGTCACTTTTATTTTACTTGATGAGTCTCTGAGTTTTCATAGATTCAATAGTTGGTGCCGTCTGTGGGGATAGAGAATTGAGCAATAACTTGCTTTCTTGCATCTCCTTACTACATTCTCTGTACTGTATATTCAAAACCTCAAAAGTATTTTTGGCAATACAAGCCCAAATCAAGGTGGTCTCTACATCGCCACAAGGACCACCTCGTCCTCCACCTCCAGAGACGCTTATATTGCCACACTCAACGCCATGTGCAGAAGGGTCTTTCCATACAAACCAACGTGACTTGTGCTTACCTACGAAGCGTAAAAAGGACTCAACGACACAAAAAATAGAGAATTAATAGGTCGCATTTTTCCGGAACCCTAAAGTAGCCATGCTCTTCGTCTTGAAGAAGGATAGGAGTCAAGGGTCTTGTAAGAGATGAAATAGAGACGAAAGTTCATGGCTTCACTAAGATGCTAAAAGTGTACACTGTATTAACAAGGATCCCGTGAAAGACGCAACAATAGTTTCTCCTCGTTACGAGACTTCCTCTATAAGCCTAGATCCCAAATGTCATAGTATCGAAAGAAAACTCGATATCCATACTCGATTGCATTTCGACCACAACAGACACAAATTCCAAGTGTCACCTCTTGCTTTTCATGTTCTAAACACAAGTATTTTTTTTTTTTTTATAAATTTAATCTCGAAAAAGATAAATTTAGATATGTACGATGGCTTTAGTGACCCAGGAAGAACATATAAAATGTGAGGAAAATACTTGAGTTTGTATTTCGAGGGACTAACTCCATCTGGACGGTGCTTCTACTACCTTTTGTGGTACCACTAAAAAATACGTCTAGACTCAAAATCCATACTGACTTTAAAGACCTGACCTCCAAGCTGGTCGGTCGTTTCTCCACCAACTTTCTCAATTTCGTGAAGAATGCTAAAAGTGGACGGCTTGTTAGAGCTAGTGGAAACAGAAGCCCTTGCTGAGGGAGTAAACGACACTAGCCTGTGGAAGAAAATATACACCTTCTTCTATCAAAATATGTACCAGGTAAAGAAACTAGTGAAAAGCCACACTCGAGTGAAATAAAAAATAAAAAATAAAAATCATTGCAGTGAGGGAAACATATTCCTGATTTCAAAGGCCAATTGATAAAATAAGGAGAAAAATTGCGACCAATCAAGTTCAACCCAAAAAGTGAATGTCCAAAGCCGCCATGTCTTTTTTGAACTCCTTACTACACCCTTAAATATGAATCACACAAAAGTGTTCTCCAACAATCGAAGAGAACTACATATAAACAGCCCACCTCTGATGAAGATCCATTTTTATCTCTGCAACCAAACAAAGTATTGTTACTACCAGCAATATCGTAGACATGACACATAGGACTGTTATTTCTAATCAAAATTGCCACGATATAGAGCTCGGTCATCATCCAGATAATCTCTCCAAGATTGAAATCACATTGCAAAGAAAACCGAGCCTAGTCAGGTCTCACTGAAAGGAAAGAACCTATAAGAACAGAGTCCTCACTACTGCCCAGTCCGTAAGGCCATGGCACGAGCATAGTGTTTACTCACTTTAAGACTCGAACAATATGATCCACCTCTATGATGACCCATTGGTCATCTCTGCATTATCTTCAACTATAGGGTCTGCCGCATTCTGATAGACAATGAGAGTACGGTGAATATTTTTTGTCCTGTGAGGCCTTTGACTTAATGATATCTGAACTATTCCAGCTCCAACTAACAAGAACGTCATTGATAGGGATACAAAAAAGGGCAAGTTCCCATAGAAGAAACCGTACAAATTCTCGTCACACTAGGCGCACCTGGCGTACAACGTCAGTTTTCAGAGACTTACTACATAAGATAGGTATTGTAACCTGTATGCAGTACTTATTCTTGAAGTTTTCCACTCTTGGAGGAATCGCCACGATTACGGACAACCAACTTACCAAAGAAAAGATCATACCAAATGATTAAAAAGCCAAATGAGGGCGAGAACTGACTCCATTAGAAAACAATAGGTTCCCAAAAAAGAAATTTGCTATGGCTCTCGTGCCTGGGCCTAACTGATGTAAATAATCTATGGTGTTTGTAACACCTTCTATTCAAGTATCTAAATGTATTGAAAATATTATCATCATGTCTCATAATGAATGTAAGACATAAGACACCGTGTCTTTCTTACTCGTATTATTAATTATAGTTTTTGCTGTGAAAGTTCATTAAATAGTTAATAAGTCTAACCTTATTTATAAATTTCAATCCAAAATGCACTATTAAATTTTTCTGTTTTAAAATTTTATTCTAATAGTAGATTGAAATGAATTGATATGTGTCTCTTAGTTTCGTCAAATTCTTTTTCTAAAAGACAAAATAAATTTATCTAGCCGATACCATTTAATCGATTACCTATATTTTTCCTTCATTAATTATCATCTTTATAAAGATGATTCAACTCATTTATTCCTATTATTTCCGTATTCTTTCCATTCTCAT